CAAGTGAGGCTTGGGGAGGTCCTCCATCATAACCAAGACTTTACTAGTTGGGGGCAGAGCTGGGATTTCAATAAGATCTCTGGAAGCTTTCCCCTCAAGATGCCGTATCTCAAGGCCTTTGCTTTTCCCAGGGCAGACGTGAGATACAGGTATGCATGTGTGGAGGAGGGTCTGATGTGCTCTGGAGACATAAACCATTTCAAATCCACCTTGTGTCCAAGCACCAGCTCCTTCCAGGACTTTTCCATGGTCAGACCACTGTCACCTCCGTCTCCTATCTCCCAGTATCTTCGGTCCTCGGGTGGTAGACGGGGCATCCCAAACATGCTAAATGTGTGCAGTCTCACCTCCAGCTCATGGGCCTTGGTGACTTCCTGGGAGAACAGAGAAGGTGATCAACCTGGTACATCCCCAACATTTGGTGTGTGCACACATGCATATATATGTGTGCCTGGCATGGCATGAATAGGGTCATTATTACCCAGGAAATGAAGTTACACTTTTGTCTGCAGGAAGGTCCCTGGGTAGAGGGGTTTGAGGGAACCTCTCTGACCAGAATGACACCTTCTAGAGGTTTCCTCATCACTCAGAACAGAGTAAGAGGCAGAGTTGTGCTTTACAGAGTGGTCTTTAAGAATTGATTTTCTTTATTCAAAAAGGAAAAAAAGAAAAAGAAAGAAAGGAAGGAAGGAAGGAAGGAAGGAAGGAAAGAAGAAAGAGAAAAAAAGAAAAAAACCTGTTTGGGGTTGAGCTGTAAATTAAATCCAGTGCCTTCTGCATGCTGGGCAAGCCCTCTACCACTGAGATATACATCCCAGATTGAGGAACCTTCAAGTAAGGACCAGTACTAGACTTCAGAAAACATGGTCTCAGGTAACAATGACATATAATGGATGCATTTTTGTTTGTTTTTAGATGGGGACCTACTATGCAGTTCAGGCTAACCTTGAACCTGCAACCCTTCTGCCTCAGTCTCTTGCGTGCTGAGACTATAAATGTGCATCAAAATGCTTGGCTCAAAGTGGAGATATTTATGAAGCATCACACCTTAAAGTTGATAACTGCTTTTGGTACCAAACAATGCGGGAAACAAATAATTAATTCTAAACCTCACTCTACCCTTAAGTAGACATGGAGGAAGCAGTAGGGCTCATAGCTGGGGTGAAGGCTGGCGGGGAAAGTAGGGATGAATAGATTATGCCCAGCTCACACATTATCTGATAATTTCCAAAAGCTGGGAGTTTAATATTAATAATTTATCCTAGCTGGGTAATTGTGAACACAGCTTTAATGGTCACTCAGGAGGCAGAAGCAGGCAGATCTCTGTGAGTTTGAGGCTAGCCTGGTCTATAGAGCTAGTTCCAGGACACCAAGGCTGTTACACAGTGAAGCCCTGTCTTAAAAAACCAACCAACCAAACAAGTAAACAAGTAAACAAAGTTTAGGCTCATGGGGTCCAGCACATCGGTCGCATACAGAGCTGGTTCTTTGGAGGCCTCTGCACAGAGCTGTGCCTGTCGGAATTCTCGAAGGTACTTGTGATCAGAGGCTCCCTGCCAGCTCAGTTCATGGAGTTTCTGGTCTTGGCTGTCTCTGGAGGCCATCATGGCTGGGATTGTGAACACTGAGGCAGAAGTGAAGGGAATCCTTACCTTGAGTTTGGGGGAGTGAGGTGGACCAAGCCCAAAGTGGCTTCCGTGCCTCTTCTCTGGCTCTGGTTCTCGAAGTGTCAGAGGAGATGGACCTCGGGTCTGGCCAGAGCCCTTGGCAAAAGGGACGTGGAGGCGTCGGCGACTAGGGTCCTGGAGAAAGAGGAGGCAGGGGAAGTTCTGGGAGTACCAGAAAAACTAGAGAGGCAGACGGGGCCCCGAGCTTGGCTCTGGACATGATCCCTCGCTCCTGCAAGGCGGGCTGGCTCACTGCTCTCATCGAACCAGTTTGGTGTGAGCTGCTGCTGCTTTGAGTCACAGTGGCTGCTGCCAGGCAGGGCAAGTTCAGCTGGGCAAGGGCAGGCCTGCCTGGTTCCTGAGGGAACCCGGAGGTAAAAACTGAGGCCTCCTGCAGAGCAGACACACACAGGCACACACATGCCTGGGCTCTGCTGTGGGTATCCAGCTCCAGCCCACCCAGCCATCCACAACACCCTCCGTGCCAAGGGCTTACAGGAGCAGTGAATGATATAGGCTGTGTTCTGACTTCATTCCTTTTTGGACAGCTAGCCTCCCTCACATGAGCAAATGAGAGCTCACAAGGATGCAGCCTCCTCCCTGGGGACTGCAGCTAGTGTCCTGCGCCACTGGGAGTTGCTGTCCTTCTGTGTTAGAGGTTGGATGAAGCCTTAGCCACAAGTCTCCTCCCAAGGCAGGCCTGGTCACATTCCTTGTCTGCCTTGGCCTGAATTACCCCACATACTTCCTAGTGTCCCTTTCCACCCTCTCCCCGGGAGCGTCCCCATCTCTAGGGGCGGGATCCTCCAGGGAGGCAGGGAATGCCCCCAGCCAGAAGTAGACCTGCTCTTAAGGAAGCACTGAGGGCTGAAACAACCTAGGTCCTGGCTTTCACACCCCCTTTCTCCACTAGGCTTGGAGGTGGGCCAGGCAGGTGGAGCCAGGGGCGGGGCCAAGGCCGCTCTTTCCACTCCCTCCTCCCTGTGAGAACGGGGGCGCCCTGAACCTTTGCTCTTCTTCAGTCCTGACTCAGGAAGCTTTTGACTCCTCCCAGCTCCTCACAAGTAGAGCCTGAGAGATGTCTTTCCCACTGCACTAGTAACTCAGAAATGCCTTCCAACCCTTCCTCTGTGGGTGTGGCTCCATTGGGCTCCTGCCTCTGTCACTCTGTTGTCTGGGGCTGGGTGTGAAGTCCTGGGATCCCAGCCCAGGCATGACCCTCCTCTCCCAGCAACCCCGGAAAGCAGAGGAGGTTAAGGACAAGAATAGAGCAGACTGTGAAACTATAAGGGGACAGACTTCAAAGCCTTTGTGTCCTCCCTCCTGCCCCACCCAGGTCACCTTCCGGGCACAGGCAGACTTACCAATACAGGGCCTCCTCTGGGATAGATATTCCCAGCAGGGCTCTGGGCAGAAGTCGAATGTCGGCCCCCATAAGTCTCAATTCGGGAAGCAACCAGACCTTGGAGGGGGCCCTCATTTGGAGGACCGAAGGCTTGCATTACTTCTATCCTGGGTTACCCCCAGAGAATCATAGCGCCAATGCCCAGGAGAAAGGGGGTTCCCTTTTCTGCAAGACAGAAAGCCAAGACTGAGTTAGTGAGAAATGTCTCCACGGGTCAGAGGACAAGGAAAGACAAGAGGACAGAGCTGGGAAGAAGAGGGTCAGATGGTGACCACTTTGGGGGAGGTGAGGGGGGTGCATTAGCTATAAGCTGGTGGGAGGAGGGCAGGTCCAGGTGCATGCTGAGTAGGAACATCTGCCTCACATTTGGGAAATATTCCCACTTTGGCCTCAAAGGATGCTGTAGTCACAAGAGCAACTGGGAGCAAGGGTCACAGAAAATCTCTAGTGCTCTAAATAGCCCCAGGTAGAAGGCGTCCTCTTGTACCTAGATACACACAGTCTCTTTCCTGTGCTACCTTTGACAATGCAGCACGAACTCCACAGACGGGAAGAGGTGAGACTGACTAGGGACAGCCAGGTGGGTCTCCCATGTTGGAACAGACTATGGACTAAGGATGGCTTTTATTTTCTTTCCTGATTTGAGACGGGGCAGGAGTGTGTGTCTTATTACATAACCCACATTGGCCTGGAACACACATTTTAATGCTGCCTTTCAATCTGGGTTTCCCCTGCCTCAGTTTCTAGAGTGCTGTGATCACAGACATATTCCATCATGCTTGGCAACTTTTACACTTTTAAATAGTAGAACAAAGTAGAAGAAAGGTGTTTGGGGAAAGTGGGCAACACACACAGCTCTCATTCCACGAGCTATAGCTAGTTTGACCACAGCACAGGAACCACCCTTACTGGATGGCTTGCTGGCTCGTGGCTGCTTCCTTCTCTTAGTTGCACTGAGATCCAATAGGCCAAAGAATCTACATTCCTTTTTTTCTGCCCTTTTACTGAAAAGTCTGCACGCCCCTTACCTGGACCCCCACGGCCACGCACACGCTGGTGAAGTTGGGAGAGCGGTCAGACAGGGTCGTTAGAGGCGAGCCTAGGAGCAGAGGCGCTCTGGTCTTCTACTAATGTCAGTCTTTCCCAGCCTCTGAGGACACCACCGTGGAGCTGGAAGTCAGATGCAGGACTCCACCCCTCCTTCCTAAACCTGGATGGAAGACCCATCCCTTCCAGTAGGCAGGGCCTGGAGGGAAGAGGCCCTTAAATGGGAGTTGGGCTCAAGAACACATTACAGGGGCAGGTTTCCCATCAAGTGGGCCTCTTTGGCACCTCCATTTCTCTGCCTGAGTTTCTCTGACTTAGGCACAGAGGAGATTGCTCATTCTGTCTCCCAACCCCGCAACCAACAGTCCTGCCCCTGAGGTCAACCCCCCTCCTTACTATTCCTTCCCACTTCCACCTTCTCCATCCTTTCCCAGCCCCAGCTTCCCACCCCCTTCTCCTTCTTAGGCCCTGCGACCCTGTCCTAAGTTCCCGGTTCCCCGCCCGCCGGGCCCCCGCCCTCTCAGCTCTCACCTGTGCGCGCAGGTGTCCCGGCTTCCGCTGTCCTCGGTGCCTGCTGGGGCCGATGGGGCTCAGGGTCGTTGTCAGTGTCCTCGGCGATGGCAGTCCCTCTATCCCAGCCTGAGACTGGGACCGAGCGGCCCGAGGAACCGGGCTGCACGGGGCCGGGAGGGGAGGCGAAGGTGGAGGCGGAGGGGCGGGACACGGGCTGGCACCTCCCCTCCCTGCGGGCCGTGCTGCGCTGCGGTCTCGGTCACCCGGGAGGGGAGGACTTGGAGCCGAACTCCCGGGACACAGTCACCAACCACCCCAGGACCAGGAGCTCCTAGGTCGTGGTGTGCATCCTCTCCCTTTCTTTTGCCCCGGAACTTGCCAGCCATCTGTCACCTGGTCGGGGCTTGGGACTGAAACCTGTTCCACCCGCGGGCCACCAGCGCGCCCTCTCTTCCCGGCCAGATCCCTGCCAGGCGCCAGGGTAATGAGGGGTAAATGAGAGGTTGGGTGCCGCTAGGCGGAGGTGGTGAGGGTTATAACAGAGGGACTTGTGGCAGGTACCCCTCCCTTCTTTGCGCCCCTGTCCCTCTTGTCTATCCTAGACCGTTAACCAGAGAGGGGAGCCAGCCTGGACTCAGGAAGGGCGTAGACCTGGGGATCTTCGTCACCTTAGCTGTCCTCTGGCTATGGAGTCCAAAGTGTAGCCCTTATCTCCAGCGGACCTGCTGGCCTGCCCTGGCAACCGGGTGTAAGGTTCTGTGGACTTTGCTTTTGATTTAGGGAAGGATCAGGGGTCGGGTTGAGCCTATACCCAACTCTGCTCTCATTACCTAAGCCTAGAGGGAGGGAGCATACCAGGTGGGGGCATCCTCCCACCGCACTGCTCCGGGGTGGACCAGCGTGGTTTTCCTAAGAGCTACACAGACTGAACAGTTTCTCGAAAGTGATACTGCGCTGACTGGGCCCCTGTGAAAGGCTTTTTCACATCCGCGAGTCATGCCCAGTCTGAGGGAAGGACTGGGTGTTTGAAATAAGAGGTATCCCGTGGCTCTGTCGGGGGCATGGGCAGGTCTGAGGCCCAACTTCAGCGTCTTCCTCCCGTCAATCAACTTGGCGGGGGCTGACACAACCTCTTATCACACAAAGCATCCTCCAGCCCATGAAACCCTTTCAGAAGCCATCTCCCTGTGTTCAGTGCAAAAAGTGCTCGCTCTAATTCTCACTGTCTCCCATAGCTCCTTTCGGTTCGGAGAGGCATCTTCACCATTGGATGTTTGAATCTCTGTGCTTGTTCTCAGCGATAGATTTACCCTCCAGTGTCCCTTTTCAGATTATGATGTGAGGACTCAGTGGTCCAGATTTGCCCTCTGAACCTCTGGTTGCCTCCATCCTGCCTCCTGCTGCCCAGCTGATCTAATGGGCCAGCTGTGTGCATTGGGGGCAAGGGGTTGGATGAGATTAGAACTAGCGTTTGTCTCTTCCTAGCATTCACACTGGGGGAGGGCAGGAAGAGGAGGGAGAAGAGGAAGACATATCCAGGCCTGGCAAGAGTAGCCATGAGGGAGAGAGAAAGAGCTAATGAACCAGGTGGTGATGATTACTGGCTATCTTAAACGACACCCCAGAGACAGTTGGTGCTGAGGGTTCCCAGCGGCTCCTCCCACTGTTTCCCAGATGGAGATGGGAGGAGGTGGAAGAGGGATATTGGAATTGAGAAGGTACCAGAGATAGTCCTGGACTTGCATCTCCCTGGGGTGAGCTAGTGATGTCTCCCATAGACCCAGGGAGAGTTAATCCTTTCTGCTTCCCTCAAGGCTGAGGTCCCACCTCCACCTACTAGTGCCCCAGGGCCTGTATCCTGCCTCCCTGGGAGGAGAAATTCCCAGACACAGCTAAAGACAGAGGTGTGGCCAGCCACAGGTGTGTGGGCAGGTGGACTCTCCGGCTCTCTTGTTCCATTCCTTCTATTCTGTCTCCTCCGTCTCACTGTTCTTTCTACAACTACCCCCTTTCTACCAGCTTTTCTGTGTTGTGGGGATAGACTCTGGAGGCAGGCTGAGAAGGAAATGCAACCCTAGGAATGGAATAGGCCCCTCGTTCAACTGAGATGCCAGAGGCTGGTCTCTACCGGGAGGGGTTGCGGGGGAGTCGCTGGTCTGAACAGAGGGGATTCTTTTTGGCTTCCTTAGAAGTTCCTGGTCGCCATAACATGAAACGCATTCCTTTGCCATGCCGTGGGCCAGATGCTCTTCATTGGGCCCCCCGCTTGACCCCACAGCTGTTGAGGTGTCCTTCTAGAATCCAAGCTTGGAGAATTCAATGACTTCTTCCTAAAGGTAACTTTTGGGCCTGGTGGTGGGTCTTGTGGGGGTTGGCATAAAAGCCTCAAGAGGCAGGCAGGCCCAGAAAATGAGCCTGAACCTTGAGCCTTACCCAGTCCACATCTCTAGGGAGAGGCGGTGCCTCTGAGTTAATGGGGTGCTGTTAGAAGTTACCAGCAGCAGGAGGCGGTAAACGGAGAGCTTATGTCTTCTCAGAAGGGGAAGACTGGAGACTTGAGCAGGTGATGGCAGATCATGGGAGACAATGCATACAAGGTGGCCAGGTCACTGTGGCCTGCTACCGCTTTGCACTAACACTAGGGCCTCCTGTTCTCTCTGCCCGCTTTCCTCCTGAACACGGGAGGGGTGGGCAAGGTGGAATGGATCTCGAGATAAATGAGAGAATGCCAGACTCAAGGGAATTCCAGACTTGTGGGGAGACGGATGGGCAGACAGAACACTGATAGAGGAAGACACAGAAGTTATAAGCCAGGAACCATGCTCATACATTAGAGGGACCAGTTCCTACATGGGGGAGGCAAGGAAGGCTTCCTGGAGGAATTGATGAGACCACAGTGCTGAGTCCAGAGTGTACTGCTGCTGGGCCCCACGGAGGACATTTCTGAAACAAAGAGTGAGCAGAGACCCAGTGGTGCGGATGCGCATGCTCTAGCCTGGAGCTGAGAGTGGTGGAAGACTCTTGTCCCAGCTGCCTAGGAGGCCGAAGTGGAGGCACTCTGTGAACCCAAGCATTCGCAGGCCGTTTGTGCAGCACAGTGAGACCCTGGCACAAAAACCAGCAAACAAGCAAACGGGATGGCTCGGGAGACACAGACAAGCCTGAACACCCGAGTTTGATCCTCAGGACCCACCTCATGGAAAGAAAGACACTGATCTCCACACACGCGTAATTGTAAACATAAGAAAAGGGAACAAGCAAACCAGGCCAGGTGTGTGGCTTAGTTGGTAAAGTGCTTGCCTGCCATGCACTAGGCTCTGAGTTCGATCCCTGGCACTAGTATAAGCTGGGCATGGTGGCATATGCCTCTTATTCCAGGGAAAGCGGAGGCAGGAGTATCAGAGATTCAATGTTATCCTGGGCTACACGAGGCTTTTGTCTAAACAAACAAACAAGACTATGGAAAGGGAAGGCTTCCCAAAGACTTCAGAGTCTGCTTTGATGGCTCCCTGGATACATGCCACAAGCCGACCATCTCTGGGTGGTGCTGACTTGAGGGGGGGCAAACCCCCTTTCTCCTGGCGTTCGAGGGCCTCCTCATTGGATCCCAGTTACGATCTCCACTTTTCTTCTGCTTCTCCCTGTGTGTCAGCTTCCTTGAATCTGCCTCAGCTTTCCTGATGCTTTTGCTCAGTCTCCCTCAATGGTACCCAAAGCATCCCCCATCCACACTCATAGCCTCCTAGCCCCTCTCGGGTCCAGCACTCGTTTCTCTCCCCCACTGACTCGGGTCCCGCTCACTGGGTTTCTTCAAAAGCGCTGCTATTTCCTGATTCTAGCACCGTAGCTACTGTATATGCGTCTCAGCCCTTCACTAAATGCCCCTGAAGCAGGGACAGCCCCTTGCATAGAACTTGGTGCTAGCCTGGCATCAGCATTTGGTGAATGGACTGAGCTGACTTGCTGGAAGACCCAGAGCATTCCATTTGGGGGATACTTGCCGACATTGTCACCTCTCGGTCCCTGTCTGCCTGTTAGATAGTTGGTATTTGGATGGTTTCACATTGCCACCCCTGGTTTAGTGCTATCCCTTCAGGGGCGGGCTGAGCAGGGTTCTGCCGATGGGGGTGGCTCAGCAGGAAAGGGGTGAAGCTCTTTTGCTGTGTGTTCTAGCACTGAAGGAAGCCTGGGGCACTGTGGGAATGTGAGACCTCTGCTGAGGGCACAAGGTGACAGAGGAAGTAAGAAAAGGAGGAACAGGGGCCCTGAGAGGCAGGGTCGCTGTGGGGTTTCCCCAGGGCCGATCTTGGAGTAGGGTGTCTGATATTCAGGCTTGTTCTCTAACTGAGCCTTCCTCTGTCCTTGACCTGTAGCCTCAAGAAGTCTTCAAAAATTTCACCCAGACTAGGAGGGACTTTGTGTCTCAGGATCCCAGCAAGTCCTTACCAGTGAGACTCGGGGTGACTGTACAAATCCCATCACCTGTGGAATGTTCCCGACCCACCTCTCTCTCTCTGCTTCCAGTGAGGAAGCTTCAGACATGGGAAAACAAACAAACAGCAGCAGCAACAAAACCCCAAAGAACACCAACAGTGCGTTCTCCCTAGTTGCTGCCGCTCTGTGCTTTCTCTCTGCTCTATTACATCGGGGGACCACCAGGCTGCCCCTAGTGGCGTCTTCTGGAAATGACGATTGATGTGTTTTGGTTCCGGGGGACAGGAGTGGACAGCTTGTTCTTTCGGAGGAGACCCACAAGGCCTTGTATTTTTAAGGTTTGCCTGGCATCACTGAAGAGGGCCCCTGAGTTGGCCTAGCAACCTGCGAGGCTTCTCCGGGTCTGTCCTGGAAGATACATGTGTGAGATCCGATACACGCATGAGATCACCTCCTTAGGGCTCCTTCCTCCAAGTGCTTCAGTCTGTGCTGATTCTGGCTCTCCTAGGTGCCTGCAGCCTTAGGATGTCCCCAAAACCCACGAGAGTGGGCAGGCTAAGATTCCAGGTTAGTCCTTGCAAAAGCTTTCATAGCTAGGGCAGCTTTCCCCCAACCATGGTCAATTTCCATAAGTCCTTGTTCTTTTTGCTTAGTCAAAGGCCACAGACCTGACTTCTGGTGTGCGTGTCTCAACGCCCACTTGCCAGGGCAGCTGACTGTCCCAACCCTTCTCATTTTGCCACTCCTTGTTCAGCCTGGCTCTAAATTCTTATTTCCAATTTAATCGGCCAGCCCTGACTTTCAGGAAGTTTTTCTCATCTCTGCCCTGCATTTGTCTGGCTTAAGTTTAATGTCCTCATGCTCTGGGGAATCCCTTCTCGTGAGAGGCTTTCCTATGAGTAAGCTAAGACACCTATCATTCTGTGAGCTCTGATTCTCCAGAAGGTTCTTGCACCTTCCTTCAGAGACCTAGTCCTCAGTGGACTACATGTGAGCTGGCAACGAGGCCCCAGGCACCACCCTCTGCCAGGAAGAGTTGTTGGGGACCCAGAAACCATCACTTCATTCTCTCCTCAGCCTCCCTAGCGAGGTGGGCGTTGTTGGTCTTTTCCCATTCGGCAGATGCCAGGCTGAGCTTCAGACATGAGCTGACCTGGCCGAAGTCACACAGGCAGAATAGGAAACCCAATGATTCGGTCCTTACACCTAACAAGGTGTTACTGTGGGCATGGAGTCTGCTCTCAGGCTCATAACAGGGAACCACAGCAAATGTGTGAGACCTGGTTTCCCCTCAGCGTGCTAAACTGACTGGGCCTCCACCTCCACTTCAAGGCTGTGTTAATCCTCTGCAGCTGCCTAAATGTCCCTCCCTTAGGATCCTTGCTGTTCATGTTTTCGCCGGTTTGTTGTTTTTAGAGGGCAAAGGGCCAGGTGTGGTGACTCAAGACCAGCCTGTTATCTGGGCAGCATAGCAAGTCCTAGTCTGGAGGAAGAGGAGGAAGAGGAGGAAGAGGAGGAGGAGGAAGAAGAGATGCTACTGCCACAGATGTGGTGGTGAGTGCCCCAATTCCCGCACTTGGAAGGTGGAGGTAGGAAGATCAGCAGTTCAAGGTCACGCTCAGCTCCGCGGGGAATTGAGGTGTGTCTGGGTTAGAGAGCCTGTCTAAAAGACACGCTACAGCACAGACTAGAAGAGGACACACAGTCCCAGAGACTCAGGGTCGCCTGCTGTCCTGTGTCAGCGTAGCAGGGTAGCAGGGGCTCCACTTGGTAGGAGGCTCTCTCTCTCTCTCTTTCTCTCTCTCTCTGGTGCTGGGAGTTAAACCCAGGACTTTGTGAATATAAAATAATTTATTACTGAACTCCACTCCCAGTTCAGGAGTTCAGGAAGCCTTTCATAGACGCTTTACTTTTTGTTTTTGTTTTTGATTACACACACACACACACACACACACACACACACAGAGAGAGAGAGAGAGAGAGAGAGAGAGAGAGAGAGAAAGAGAGAGAGAGCCCTGACTTGTCCTGAAACTCACTGTGTAGACTAGGCTGGCCTTGAACTCACAGAGACCCACCTGCCTCGGTTTCCTGAGTGCTGGGATAAAAGGTGTGCATCACCACTGCCCAGCCTCATAGACACATGAGCTGATTTGTCTCTCTTTATATGTCAGACTAAGGTTATAATAACTACATTTTAGGATCTTTATAATAATAACAGCAAATTTTAAAGTGATTGTGGTACACAAGGCACATGTTTTATTTCAGCTAACCTGCACCAAAACCTTAGGAGGTACTGTGAATGTAGCTCAGCTGATGGAACATTTGCTTGATATGTGTTATATGGGTCCCATCCCCAACACCACAAAAAGCAGGCATGGTAGCATATGCCTGTCATCCCAAGGCACTCAAGAGATAGAACCAAGACGATCATAATAGGTATTATTGTCCTCTACCATGAGGAAACAGGCTCAGCTTAGAAAGGTCACCAAACATTTTCATGATGACAAACTTAGCAGGAGCAAAAGACATAATTTGAATTCAAATTCATCTCATTCCTCTTATCTGCTCTTGTGTGGGAAATGAATAGGTTGTATGCATAAACACACCTCTGACCAAGCTAGCTAATTGCCTAGCAGGGCATGGTGGGCCCATTCCTGTGTAAACCCAGTGCTCTGGAGGTAGAGGCAACAGAATCTCAAAGGCAAAGCCAGCTTGGGATACATTATGAGATTCTGTCTGCAAAAACCAACACAAAATCTAGCTACCCAAAGTTTGATGATTTTTCTTCAGCCCTAAGATTCACCCCATGATTCAGAGAAGCAGAAATGTAACTTGCAAGGCTTTCATAAGGAATATTGGTATTTAATAGAGTTTATAAGCCAGGAGCCATGCTGTGTCCTTATAACCCCAGCTACTTGAGAGGATAAGGCAGGAGGGTGGAGAGTTGTAGTCACGTTGGGCTATACAGTAAGATCCAAGTCAGTCGGGGCTATATGGCACCACCACAGCTCAATAATCAAATCAGTCAAGAGCAAGAGAGAAGACAGAGAAGTCAAAAGAGAAGAGCGAGCTTTTGTGTATGTGCATTTGGGTTCCCTCATTGTGGTAGATGGTCCCTGGTCTTTCATGACATGTCTGTGCTACTTGGTAGCTTCCGCCCATACTACTCTGGTTTGAACGTGTGATTTGCTTGAACCAATAATGTGTCAAAGGAGTGGAAACATACTGGTTTCCGCTTGAAGGCTGGAAGGCTTTTGTGCAGCTAGATGCCAAGGTGGTCTACGCTTACAAGTCTCATCCCTGCACTTGGGAGACTAAGGCAGGAAGATCGTGAATTTGAGGAGAGCCTGAGCTATGCAGTGAGATGCCTCCTTCTCAAACAAACCAAACCAAAACCAAAACTAAAGCCAAAGCAAATCAAAACAAATACCACTAGCTTTGTGCTTTTTCATTCTCTCTCAAAACTCCTCCCACCAGCACGAGGAAGAAGTCAGGAGTACCTTACACAGGGTGAGAGACTTTGAGCCATGAACTCTGTCCTCCTGAGTCCTTCCCAGATGTCTTAGTCACTGTTCTATTGCTGTGAAGAGACATCATGACCAAGGCAACTCTTATAAAAGAATGTTATGGGATGATCTTTTTGTGCGCTATGAAGCTGTCTGTTTTACCTTGTCTGCCTAAAGCACCTTCTGACTGGTTTAATAAAGAGCTGAATGGCCAATAGCTAATTGAGAGAAGAGACTCCTTTAAGAGGCCCTGCTGTGCAGCTGAGCAGCTGAGTGAGGCCTGTGAGAAGCCTAGGTAGAAAAAGCCTGCCTCAATGCAGACCCAGCAACTTCCCAGGGCTGGGGCAGGTAGGTGCTGGTTCCCTGCCAGTGCCTGCAGGCATGAGGCTAGGCTCTCGTGAAAAAGCTAGCAACTGCTGCAGCCCAGAACCAGTGGGGTAGCTTGCTGGACTGACTTGAGGGTGGTGGAGCCAACCGCCAGCACCATGTGCTAAGCAGAGCCTCAAAAACAGATGCACAGAGGTTACTTGGTCTTTTAAGGTTTGGCTCAAGCTGGAGATTCTCAGAAATCCAGGCCCAGATTGGTGGCAGGGGAACAACCCTCTGAACAGGTAGGGTATCCTCGAAAATGTGCTTTTAGGTGCTGAAGAAAGAAAAGAAAATCGAAAGGGCTGGAGAGATAGCTCAGCAGTTAAGAGCACCAACTGCTCTTTCAGAGGCCCCAGGTTCAATTCTCAGCACCCACATGGCAGCTAACAACTGTCTCTAATGCCAAGATCTGACACCCTCAAACAGACATACATGGAGGCAAAATACTGATGCAAATGAAATAAAAGTAAAAAAATTATTAAGAAAAGGAAAAAATCAATAAAGACAGTCATTAAAAAATAAAGTTTGAAAATAATAAAGTGAAGTCTTTAAAGAGAAAGTAAAGTAATATAAAAAAAGAATAATCCATGTAAGGATGGGAAATATCATAACATAGGATATTTGGATCTTATATAGTACTTTATTAACTTTAAATTTTTAAAATGCTAATGAACAAAAGAACAACAGCTGTGGAGAGTTTTGGATAGTAGAAAAACTGCTGAATTAAACCAGCCAATATATTTTAAGGATGCCTTAACTTCAGAATGGAAGTCAGGAAATATGTTGTGTTGGGGGAGAGGTTATACCTTGTTCCCACAGGAAGAGAAAAGCTATGGATTCCTTCAAAATTTGTAAAGATCAGATTCGACTGGGGGAGACCTTCTCAAAAATCTTGGCTGCAGACATAAAGAAAGAAACCAAGAAAAACTACAGGACAAGTGACTGTATCTGCTGATGCCTCTATCATGGGAATAGCTGAGACGGGAGGAGACATGATAAATCTTGTTGGCTACAGAGTTCTCATGACTTATTATTACAGGCCATTCTTTCATATGGCATGGATAGAGATTTATATTCCGGTTTGGTTATGTAGTCCAACTGGAGTTATAAAGTTAACAGATGTATTTTTTACCTGCTCCAACATTATTTGATATACTCTGAAAAGAAAAAGGGAGGACATAGATATAAGATAAAAAGGTCAGGGGGCTGGAGAGATGACTCAGCGGTTAAGAGCATTACCTGCTCTTCCAAAGGTCCTGAGTTCAATTCCCAGCAACCACATGGTGGCTCACAACCATCTGAAATGAGATCTGATGTCCTCTTCTGGACCGCAGGCAGACACACAGACAGAATATTGTATACATAATAAATAAGTAAATATTTTTAAAAAAGATTAAAAAGGTCAATTATTGAATTTACTTTTAAAAAAACAACTATTAGTTTTAAATGTTTTACCTTGGATTGGGCTTTTGTATATTGTATACAAATTTTGTATATTGATACAAAGTTGAGATGAATTTTGTTAAAATATACTGTACATACATTCCTAATCTTGTTCAAGGTACTGCACCTATACAGCTCATTTAACAGCATAATACAAATTGCTAGTTCTTGAAAATTATTATTACCAATTGTTTAGGATAATAATGAAATGCGGGTTAATAATTAGTCACCTATTATAATCAAACTTGTAGACACATTTGTCTTCAAGGTATGCTTTCAAGGTCAAACAAAGATAAATTTTAGGTAGACAGGTCATCTTTAAACACTTTCGAGATCTATAGAATATGGCATTTAAGATGTTTTAATAAGCTTTGTTCTTTTTTTTATGACAATGAGACTTATCTGCTTCTGATATGACAGCACCAATTAGTTCACAGAGGTTGATGGGCATTGAAGAGAACTGCTATGGAATTTGCCTTCAGTGTGGCAAGGCTAACCATTTGGGCAAGAAACTGCTCTTGCCTGGACTGCTTGATGGTATGCTATAGAAACTAGACATGCAGGACCCCCAGAATAGTGATTGCTAGACTTTCCAAAATATGGGATGGTCCTTCAGGGTTCCTGCTTCACAGAAGAAACTGCCAGACATTCTGCAGGACACAGAAGAAAGCAAATGATGAACTTTGCCAGTACAAGGCAGAAGAGGTTATCAAATTGCCTGCTTCACTGAAAAGTCTCCCAGATACTATGAGCCTGTAGGCTGAAGATGGATGCCCCAACATTGCGGTAGAACTTTGGGTGACTGTCCAGGCAGTGAGATGTCTCTGTCATTTCTAGAACTTTGGAAGTTGCTTACAATGCACTTCCTGTTTACTTAGGTAATATTATTTCCTTTTCGGGTCTCCGAGGTAGTTGAAGACTAGATAGTTATAGTTATAGTCTCCCTTGTTTATGAGACTCAAACAAGAAATTCACAAAAGAAATGTAAAGTATATAATGTTGAGAGATATCAAAAGATAGTTTTGGATAGTAATGCAATTTGTGGTAGAAGATAAATTAGGTACAAGACTTTGGACTCATCAAGATAGGATAAATAGAAAGTATTTTCTCTGAACTTGTCAAATGCAAATGGACTAAACTTTGTTGATGTATTTATTGCCTGTATATATTGTATATAGTTAATATACTTATTGTATATCAATTTCTTATATTAGTTATAGCCTTCTTTTTTATTTTAAATGAAAAGGGAAATGTAGTGGTATTTCATTTGTATTTTAATAAATAAAGCTTGCCTGAAGGTCAGAGAGTAAAACAATCCTCACTGATCAGTCATACAGACCAGGCAGTGGTAATACACACCTTTAATCCCAGTAACCACACTAGTTGCAGAAACTGGGTGGCATCTTCAATTCAATTAAGATGAGTGGCAATTAAGTGCCTTTAATCTCTGTCCTAGCGAGGAATATAAAATGGGAGGAGACAGCTCACAGTCACAGTCTCGTTCTGAGGCTTCCTGGAGACAGGATCACCATTTTCTTTTTTTTTCTTTTGGTTTTTCGAGACAGGGTTTTTCTGTAGCTTTGGGGCCTGTCCTGGAACTAGCTCCAGGCTGGCCTCGAACTCACAGAGATCTGCCTGCCTCTGCCTCCCGAGTGCTGGG